GCTCACGCCTCCCTCAACTCCCTCACCTTCTTTCCTCCCACAGCCCCTGCCCTTCTCTCCCTCCCAAAACATGGATGCTTTGTCATCTGTTTCCTTTCCGGTGCCCACGTCTCTTCTCAGGCCACACCCTGTCCCCTCCCCAGCCTGAGTCACCTCCTGCTCTGTGTTCAGGTCTCATCTGTAACAACCCTGCTGACCAGCACTAATCTGCCTCTGTCATAGCTTTCCCACCGTTCCCAGACTGGGTCTTGTGTCATACACTGAATGCGTTGTTCAGGCAGAGATGAGACCCAGCTTCTGCGCCTTGGGGAAAGTCTGGATCTGCATAACCTGGGCCCATCTCGTGTGTTTCTGTCTGATTTTGACTGAAGTCCCATTATGCAGGGGCTGTGCCACCATTTTATTTTTTACAATGCTGGGCCTGCGGATGATGCTCAGTAAATATGGAATTCTTTAAAATGTGTTCATTCTAAATACAGTGATTTGCAAATGAGGTTCAAGTCATGCATATTAATGCCATCATTTCATCTTTATGGCCATTTATTTTCCCTTGACAATCTCCAGTGAATTACTGGGCTCCTGAGGCAGCTCATTAAGGAAGACAATTTCTGTGGAAAAGGATTACCCTTACATCAGCTGATGGCCCAGGGTTCCCCAGGGCTGTGACTTTTGTTCATTGTTTGCTACTGGTCTGAACGGCACATGGGGAGAGGCTGTTACCACATCCCCTGAACTAATAGGGTTGCTGTTTGGAGACATGCCATAATCACAGGGTCGGTGCTCACATGTCTGTCTCCCGCCCTGTTGCTGGGCAAAGAATCCTTGTGCATGGTGGATGTGGCTTCTTAGGGGATTTTCTGAAATTCTCCCACCATTGCTTTAGGGCGGACATGGCTCCGTCAGCACCAGGAGTGGAGGAATGCTTGCACAAGCTGCTGTCAGGTCTGTGCTCTCGTCCCCTGGACAAGGCTGTGCTGTGACATTGTGCTTCATGTAGTTTAAGAGATCGTGGGCACTCAACCAGTATCATTAAGACACCCTCAAATTTGGAGAAGTGCTTGAAGCTAGCATTCTCTGTAACATGTAGTCCCGAGCAGGGTGGAGAATGGGAATACATGACTTGCATTGGCACATATCAAGGTGGATTTGGGAGCTTTGCTGATCGTCTGTGATGTATCCAATCTAAGCTTAACACATGGCTTGCACCCCCCACTATATCCTGCCTCAGGAGCCCAGATGGTTGATGCTGCAGTCACAGAGTTGACATCCATAAAACTGCAATGAAGTGTTTGTTATTTCAGGTGACATTTCATAATGGTAGGGTTGGTTCCCATTTTATGGCCACTTTCCATTTTTGGTGTTAAAACAGCTGTTTCAATTTTGTCGAATGTTGGGCAAATCTTAATGTTTTTGTTTCATTACTTTTCGTATTGCTCCCTCTTTTTGTTGACTGAATTGCTGCAGTATTTAAAAAAAATATATTTTCAAATAAAAATCATAAGGAAGGTAGGGTGAGAAGGGATCTCTGGGGTTATCTGGCCCAGCCCTGTGCTCAAAGCAGGATCATCCTTATCTAAACCATCCTAGGTTAGTATTTGTCTAATCTGTTCCTAAAAACTTGAGGAAGAACCTTCACACAAAACAACCAAACACCAAAAACACTCTTCAATTTATCAGAGGCAAAACACACAGAGAAGGGCACTGTTGATGCCGTCATCTGGTTAAAGGTTAAATAGTCCCATATGACTAGGTCAGTGAGTCTTAAGATTTTTAGACTCAAGTCACCCCTTGGAAAATGCCAGCTCTTAGCCTGTCATTTTTTTTTGACTATAGAAAAACAATAGAGCAATTATTTTGTTGCAAAGAACTCAAAAAGACCATGACAGATCAGAATGGTATTGACATTGTGGATGGCTGTTTAAAATCTCTGGGTTTATTTTGTGAATCGTGTGTGTGTGGTGTTTGCACACCTAATAGTGTGCTAATGTTGCACGGTATCCTCTAAAGGATCTCATGGCACCCCATGGTGCCATAGAACCCTAGTTGAGAATCAGTGGTCTAGCCTGACCAATCAAAATTGTGAACTGGGGGAAAAAACAGCAAAATCAGTATCAGAATAAACAGGCTAAATCTTTTGTTTATTTAAAGTGTCTTGAAATTTTTTGGAAAAAAAGGAAAGGAACAGCTTGCAAAAGTATTATTTTTTTGTGGAAAATTCCATTTATTTTTAAATATTGGGAACATTGGAAAAAAAGGGTTGTTTTTTTTGTTGTAGTTGTTCTCGTTTGTTTGAGAAGCTGTGATCAGGTCAGAGTAACAGGAGTATGTCACCAATAAGGAACAAACAATTCAGCAATAAAGGGTTTTTGTATAAGTATGGAATGCATCACTTCAGAGACTTCAGAAACCATGCCTCCAACATAGGCAGGCCAGAGAGCACTCACCAGGATCTGGCTCTATGGACTCCAGTGGGACTGCACTGATTGACACCAACTGAGAATCTGGGCCACTTGATTCCCAGGTAGTGATGCCAATTGCCAAGTCACCTGAGCTGAGGAGCTTCAGTGTCTTCTCAGTCTTTATTTGATAAATACCCCCTGGTTTTACTGAGAGCTTGCCTTTTTGAAGGGTGAGTGGAAAAGGAATAAGATGCTCATAGCTGGCCCCACGGGGATTTCTCTCATGCAGTTATGTATCCACATTAGGGCACAATGGGGCAGTTAGTGTCACAAGAAAAAATTCTCTCAATGAGGTGAAACGTTTCTATTTGTCTTTGCAATGGAGGCCATGTGCTGAGAGCCACTTTGTATTGGCTGAGCACCCACACTTCAGCCCTGGGAGCTGCACGTGCTGAGAAAGGGCACTCAGCATTAATGAGATTTGGGCCTTTGATTTTCAGCTGTCCCTGTACCAGACTGATTTACTAATGTGGGATTTGACACTGGTCTGGAAGCCATTTCACAGTAAAACCACAGCACAAAAGCCCGCTGCCCCACCATGCACATGCCAGCTTATAAAGCTACATTTGCCCAGGGACCTGGCTAACCTTACCCCGCCTCGGCTGGCAGGGTACCACTAAATTCAGTGCACTTCTCTCAGGCAGGTAGTTTACAAGAATTCTGCTAGCATAGGTGAGTTCTGCCCTATAGCAGCATTTAATTCTACCCAGGGCTTCTGGTAAAGAGAAGGCAGCTTTCTGTGTTCAGAAATGTGCCAAAGTGACTAGAGTTTTGTAACAAGGACAAACAGCTTCCAATTATTGAGGCTTTAAAAACAAACATCAGGCCAATCCCTTGGAGTTTGAATAAACTCAGCCCCTAGTAGCAGCGATGGGACTTTCAAGTAAACCCATGTACCTTGGTATTTGGATTTACGCTGCTTCCGTGGAGTCACTTATGGGCCACTATTTATCTGCTTATCTGGACTGGTGTAGGATCTGAACACCTTGCAGCCTTTAACCTGTTTATCCATTTAAGCCCCTGAGAGGCATGGCAGTGCTATTTTCTCTTCTGTGTATAGAAAGGGGGACTGAGCCACTGCAAGTGACTTGCTCATGGCAATACACCAGGGGTTTTCAACCTTTTTAAATAAGTGTACCCCCAGCAACTGGACGTGGAGCAGGGGATGGAGGGCAGAGCATCAGCAGCACAGGATAGTGGGTGGCAGTGGCATCCGCCACATGTGAGCTCCCTCTCCCTACGTCCGGCTGGGTGGGTGGTACCTGTACAGCCCACAGAGGGGAGCCACTGTCCTCGCCCCCCTGGCCCTGTTCCTGGGAGGCGACAGCACAGGATAGCGGGTGGCAGCGCTCCATCCCCACCTGCCTGCACATATTCCCTAGGGCCTTCCCAAGTACCCCTGGGGGTATGTGTACACCTGGTTGACAACCCCTGCAATACACCATAGACTTGTTGTCACTCTAAACTTCAGCTCAATGCTCCAACGCCTGGAACCCAACAGCGAATGTCTGTTGGGTCCAGGGGTTCGCGGTAACTCATGGCACTTCCCGCAAAGCACCGTGAGTTATAGCAACCCTCAGACTGAGCTCCCTCCACTTCCATCCCCTACCCGCCCCATTCTAAAGACAGAGCTGGGAGCAGGACTGGGCTGTATCAGCACAACCCTACTCCCAGCTCACACTGACACAAGTTAATGGAAGCACTCTGCCTTGGAGCACCTGCATCTGAACCCTCATTACCCCTATGTCTTGGGATTTGGCCCCTTTAAAGTACTCTGCAACTGTGCTCTTCGATAAGGGCATGGCTGTAGAGTACTTTCAGTGGCTGATCATGAGACAAAACATCACTTATGGCAGTGCCCACAGGTTGTGGCATCAGTGGGACCTGCATCCAGGTCTCCAGTGTCCCAGAGCAATGCAATAAACACTGGGACTAACCTCCTCCCTCTTCTGGTGTTTCTGTGCTCTCAACACTAAAATACTGTGAATGAACCAGAACTTGGGAGACTTCGCTCCCAGCTATGCCTCCCTCAGGTTTTAAAAGACTTACAAAGAATGCACACACCAGACAGGATGAAGGTATTCTGCAAGGTCTTAAGGAACACACTTAGGTGATGCCCTTATTCCCGGCAATCTAGGGAGGCCATGTTATGGAGGGTGCACATGTATGCTTAGGCACTCTCCACCCCAGTGCCTCTGCTTTCCACAGCTAGAATTAAGTTGTAGCAAAACAAGTTAGTGTGCCAGGAGTCATGGGTAGGCACAATAGGCTTTTAAAAAATTTTTTAGTAAAGCTCTTCTCACCTATTTCACCCTATTGCACTAAAAGACATGCTGATGCTCTTAACTAAGCTTTGAGCTTTTATCTAAGGGATGAAAGTGAAAATAAAGCAATCATTCCTTTCCCCTAAAGCATATGCAAACAATCCTGCCTCAGACCACCATTCGCACCCTTGCTCTCCCTCCCTCAGTGCTCTCTCTACCACAAGAGCTTATCACTCTTGTTTCCAAATACACTCGATGTCAGCAGATCATTACCTACCTGACAACAATCACTCTGTCACAGAGCACTCCAAAGTCTGGCCTCTTCAGGATAAGGCTGTGTACAGTACTCACATTCACCAGCAGGCTTGTTTTGTTGTCCTGCCCCACTTTAGAATAGAAACCCAACACCAGTTGATCCTTCCTTCCCAGGGAGCACAGCTCTGAGCACCGTGTTCGCTCAGCAGCTTCTGAAACGCTGGCAGTGGCCTTGACACAGCATGGTACTGGGATCAAACCCAGCAGCACGAGTGTGTTTCCTAAGAAAAGAAGACTGAGCAAGTCCTGGGTTCTCTATTCAAAGCAGGAGAGACCCAGGCTTTGCAATGAATGCTAATGCTGCATGCAGACTCTGTCTTAACACATTGTGGGTGCTGCTATCATCATCATGTGTGAGAGTGCTTTGTCTTGACAGTATTTCTTTTAAATAAAAGTTTGAAAGGTTTTGACAGAACAGGGTTCCCTTTCCACCTGTCTGCAGTCATATTGATAAGATTTACCTTATGATTGCCATAGGAATGAATGAAGGAATTAAGCCTGCAGAGCCTGATTTCCAACAGAGCTACATATTTTCAATTCGCAGTGAAAAATTAGATCCCGAGGGTCCCGACTTTGAAAAGCACCCAGTGTGGGCCTGACTCCCACTGAGTCACAGATGAAACTCCCTGGTTGAACAGTTAGGCTGAAGCTGGCTGCTTTATAAACCCCACACTTAAATCATCTCTCATCTCAAAGCCAACTTCAAGCTATAGTTCTAAACCTGCCAACACACATTATTCACTTCAGGTACATGAGTTGTCCCTACAAAGTCATTTAGTGTAGTATTGTCATGCAGCTCAGTTCCTGTGACTATATAGAGAATTCCAGACAGATGAATGATGGCTGTAAGAGGTAGGAAAGACCTGTTAGGGCTTAGTCTCCCTTCAGAGGGTTGTCCCTTATAGCAGTGTTTCTCAACCCCTGGGTCACCACCCAAAAGTGGGTCATGAATAAACTTTAAAAATGGATCTGTAAACTTTAAAAATGGATTCTCCTTTAAAGGAGAAAAACATGGAGTTTCAGCCTGCAAGGGGCTGCTTGCGGCACTCCATGCCACATCCCACCCCCACCTACCCCACACACTGGGGGGCTGGGACTGGGGGGCAGCTGGTCGGGAGTGTGTGGCACTGGGTCAGGATTCGTCATCAATATTTACAAATGGGTCCTGGTACAGAAAAGGTTGAGGACCAGGATAGGACACTCAGGAAAGACACCCAGTTCTCTGAAACCTGTTTGACTTAGTTCCCTGGCAACTATTAGCTTTTTATGTAGGGCCGGACTGTCCTGCTATCTACTGGCTATTGCTAAAGGCTCTTTCTGCAAGGGATAACACTGTATTTTCATTTAAATACAAGATAGCTGTAGTTTCCCACCTGGTGGTCCATCACGATAAGCATTCATCTGTTTCATTGCCCTATTCTTAAAAAAAGGTTAATTCTGAGCTAGATGAGCTACCTAGCAAGCAGCTGCTGTTCCAGAAAATAAACAATGCCTGCTTCCTCAGCTTGTTGATTTGAGTTTATAGATGCACTATCTGCTTGGCTGTTCTCTCTGTAAATATTTACTGGTGCTATGGCCCCTTGGAAAGCCTCTCAAAGTTTAGTCTCTGATAATATTTTATAGTTTGTTGATCTATACACTGACTACTACCTGCTTCTGGGCTCCATCTCATTTACTTCCCTGTTCTCTGCTCTTCAAACACAACCTTTCAGTTGCCAGTGGATTATGGATGTTTAAATGGTTATTTTTAGATCTTACCTGTTTCCTTCTCCTGAGAGAACCAGAACAACACTCATCAAAGTCCTTCCACAACAAGTTTGTCAAACAGACCCCCGGCATGCAAATTCCCTTTCTCTGCTCAATAAAGGTGCATGAAATAGGGCTCAGTTTGGTGCCCTGTCCTTGGGCTGAATTGTACTTCACTCTGTAAGCAGTCCTATTGAAACTGTTTACTGCTGGGTTTTGATAGCAATAGAATATGCACAGAGTTAGGCATTATTCTTTGGAACAAGGGTGGTCCAGTCTGGTCCCATGACAAACAAGCCAGATTTGTCAGTGAACACATAAACCCCTAAAAAGTGACATATAAACTGGTCTCCATCCAGTTTCAACATATCAATACCTTTAAGAAAATATCTGGTGAAGGTAGAATAAATAATGTTCTGAGTCTACCAGCAGTAAGTAGAGCAAACTCCCCATATTTTAACCTCCCAGTATAAATGCAAACCCCTGATATATCCTGGCCCCTTTCTCTCAGTAGCACTATGCAGAGTGACGTGTACTGTTCCTTTGCCCCCAATTCTTCTGCATCCCTCACTGACAGAGCATCAGTGGAGCATTATTTGGTCCTCCCTGGGCTCAGCCTGAATCCCTTGCGTTCAGATATTGAGCTTTGCACTCACCTGGAGCTGTAAGTGATCTGGTCCTTACAAAGCACAGGTCCCGTGAGACTGATGAAGTAGCTGTGCAAGCCAACGACTCTGATAACACACTTATTTGTATGGATGTGCGTGTGACAAAGCAGGTACCTGAAAAACCTGCAGCACAGGCAGTCTGAAAATCACTGTAGCTGGCTGGATGTTCAGTCACTCTCTCTGCTGGTAATTCAGGTTTGGCATTCAACTCACTTTGGCAGACACATCCCAAGATGCAGCTAATATCTTTGTTTTTCTGCTTATGATCACCTTTTGTCTGAAAATACACCCAAACTGCCGGTTCTGTAGATCAGATGAGAGACGTGTGAGCAGCGTGGCTTGTAGTCAGATGGTGCCACAGTTCAAAGAGCAGGCGGTTGATTTTGTGCGTTTCCTCTGGCAGCGTGCCATGGCGAGTGTCATTCTGACGGTTGCCTAATTAACGAGTGGTTGCTTCCTTTAGGGACGGAATGTGTACATGCCACGTGCACCACAAGGGTGGGGATGGTGCAACCCTGCCTTCACAACAAAAGCTGCTCAATCTATTTTTTGTTTTCTCGGTACGTCCCAACACCTCAGCAAGGCTCTGGACCATGCTGCAATGGTACTTCTGACCCCAGGGTGTGTGCATGTGTGATCTTTTTTTGCTTGCATTCTGAACTCCATTGTACTGGGCAGTAGGTATCCCTTCCCCAGTGCCCCTGTGTGGGCCAACTGAGGTAGTTAGGTAGGGGATGGGCAGAAGCCTGGCATTGCCCTCTGCAATAACAGGCTGGTCCATGCAGCTGAGTCAGCCGAAGGGCCTTTGTAGGCAGCATGGATTAGCAGTTGATTGTTACTATGAGTGCTGGGCTTCTGGCAGGAATCCATAACTGAGATGATCTATCCATTTATCAGGTCAGATTAGACAATCACAATCTATCTAGAACATCTGTGAACTCCCCTGAAGGCAGGAGAAAGCAGGGAGTAGATTTTACCTCCAAAACAATGCCACCCAGGACTGTTTCTGGTGGGACGCATTTGCAATGCTATGTCTTTCAGCACAGTCATGAGGAAGGAGCCATCTAGCCCCTAGCACCTCTTGGGAGGCGAGACCTTTTGGTTGGACTTTTTGAAAACAATGACGGTTCTAGGAAAAACAGTGGAACCAAGCTTCAGGGGAAGATGTAAAAGAGAAAACTTCTGTGTCCATTTTCCCCTTTGAGAAACCCACAGCCATTAAAGCTACTGGATGGAGCAAGGTTGCAGTTTTCCAGTTGGGTTCTAGACTGAGAAATGGCCCAGTTTGGGTGCTTCCTGAGTCTAGGCAACAGTATGCCGAGTGTCTAGTCTGAAATGTCTTGGTACCTGGAGCTCTCAGTGGCTTCTTTTGGGATCAAGGGTACTCAGCCCTTCTGAAACACTGGCCAAGACATCTCAAGGTATTAACAGGAGTGTCACTTGCAAATCAAGGGAAGTGTTTCTTCTGCTCTGTTCAGCACTGGTGAGGCCTCCCTTGGACTACTGCGCCCAGTTTTGGGCCCCTTGCTTCAAGAAGGATGTGGACAGTTTGGAAAGAGTCTAGCATAGAAAAACAAAAGTGATGGGGGGCCTGGGAGACCAGACCTATGAGGAAAAGCTGAAAGACCTAGGGTTATTTAGTCTGGAGGAGAGAAACCTGGGGTGATTTCATAATAGTCTTCAAATACTTGCGCGGTGATTATAGGGAGGATGGAGATGGTGTGGCAGGGCACCTTTGGTGCCTGCCACTTTAAGGGTTAGAATAAACAGCAGACCAGCCTGCAGGTGGCTACACTCCCAATCAGGAGTCACATGGCCAGCAGGAGGCTGCCTGATTGGGAGGAGGGCCCAGATGCTAGATATAAGAGCAGGCTTTGAGCAATAGGGCCAGCAGTTTGCTGCAAGCAGCCAGAGGGGGAACATTGCCCAGCTGGCGCTGCTGCTCACATAACATCTTGGAGGTACAGGGCAGGAACTACAGGGATGGCAGGAGGTTCCTGGTCCTGGGGCATGACCTAAACCTATACTCTGCTAGGGATGGATGGTGTGGTGGGGCTGCCTGTGGTGGGTTGGTTCCTAGGAAATGCCACACCAGTTGCCTCCCTAGTGAAAGGTAAGCATGGGGTGCCTTATAGCCTCAGCCCCAACAACCTGGTGGGTAACCCCAGAGTAGGGACAGGCATGGGTCCAGGCATTATCATCAGGCCTGAGACCCGAGGGGTGTAAGGCCCTGTGGCCCCAGTGAGGGGGCAGAGGAGTGGCCCCAATGAGGGGTTTCATTCATAGATTCATAGATTATAGAGTCAGAAGGGACTCAATGGATCATTGTGTCTGACCCCCTGCCCCTGGCAGGAAAGAGGACCGAGGTCAGATGACCCCAGCCAGGTGATTGTTAAGCCTTCTCTTGAAGACCTCCAAGTTAGGTGACAGCACCACCTCTCTTGGAAGCTCATTACAGACTCTGGCCACCCTCATTGTAAAAACTTTCTTCCTAATGTCTAACCTAAATCTACTCTCCACTAGTTTGTGCCCATTATTTCTAGTTACTCCCTGAAGCGCTCTGGTAAACAGTGCATCCCCAATTGCCTGTTGTCCTCCCCTGATTAATTTATAGGCAGCCACAAGGTCACCCCTCAGCCATCTTTTGTATAGGCTGAAGAGATCCAGATCTCTCAACCTCTCCTTGTAGGGTCTTTCACG